TAGGTATTACCTCTTTTTCTCCAGTTTTAAACTCTATTATTCTGCAGCAGCATTGGAAGCCAGGCTGTTCTTAAACTTTTGAAAGATTCCAATTTTAAAACCACATGAAAATCTATGCTCACTCCAAAGGCATACTGCATGAGGTTGTGATACTCCCATCATTCTGCAGACAGTTCTTAAAATGGAAACTTTTCTCCCTGTTGTAGTGACTGTTTACAAATAAATCTTTTTAACTTGGAATTTATTGGTACTAAATGATGGGTGCCCAGCATTAGCAAGATGAAATAGTCTTGTATTTAAAAGGTTTTCATATTTGGCTTTGATGTACATTGTTTGACGTAGAAAAGTATGTGTATGTCTCTGTCTAACAGACTGATCTTCCTAACTGGGGGTTTCTTTTAGCATGAAAGGAAAATGAATTATATTTCTGAAGCCCACAGATGCCAAATGCCTATGGGGAAAAGAAAGCTGTATAGGCAATTTTTCCAGAGAAAAGTATCACACTGGGTCCATCCTGCCTCAAGCTAGACTGAACCTTTACGTGTATAACCTAAACATTCTTTTACATTTTGTGGAAAAACTTTTAAATATTAATGTTGTTTTCTTTAAAGAAAAAGAGAGAAGTGTATTCGTTTAGCTTTATAAAAAATATTCTGCAATGAATGAATTATCCCAAGTACCAAAACCATATTGAAAACAAAAATGGAACCAAATTATATAAAAGCATGGAGAAAAGTATCTTTCTACTCCATAGTTGTGATCATATGGATTTTGGTTGCCCCACAAATGTGCAATTGTGCAGCTGGGTTGAGATTTGTTCCTTTACACTGTGCCTTTTTTTTTTTTGGCTGATGGCAGAGACATCTGGAATTTTCCTTGATTAAATAAATTGTTTCTAAACTATAACAGAGCTTAAATAGTTTCTTTTCCCTGAAATAATTAAGTTTTTTAAAAAAATGTTTGAGGGAACTCACTGGGTTAAATTCTATAACCTTTCAATATAACAAATCTTTTATTTCATCTTACTAACAAATTGAAATTCAGCAGGGCTTAAAATTTTGATACATAGATGTATAAATACTCATATGCATTTATATATGCAAACTTTTTTTTGAAGCAAGCACTTCTCTCTCTGATGTGACATCACTGATCTGGATCCATCTAGTATAAGACATTTTATCAAGAGAAATTCTTACATTTTTAAAAAATATTATGACATCTTCCTCAGATTATCAGAGCACTGGTTTGACCAGTGTTGAAATGTCAGGCCACGGGGGCAGCCTCTGTTTGCGGGAACATCTTCAGAGGATGCCGAGACCCAAACGCTGATATTATTAGTGAGCCAAAGAATCACTAATCAGCCCAAGACACTTGGTTCCTCAACCTGTTCTCAAGAACAACCATTTCCACTGATCCCAAGTCACAGGGACTCAATTAGACGTACTCAAGTTCAAATTCACTTGGATCCATCCATTTGGGAACAATTCCCAGTTGAAATATGCTCTTTTCCTGGGTCCTTAGGAAAAAGGATACAGGAATATGAGGGAGGGACCAAGGGGGCACAAGGGGAAAAGTTACAGAATAGTGCCTCAGATGGGAGAAATCCCAGAAATCCCAGAGCTCCATGCTTGCTGTCCATACAAAGGGCAACCCATGTGGTGGGACAGTGGACAGTGGGGCTCTCTCCCAAATCTGCTGTGTATTTTCTCTCCTCCAAGATTGAGAAACTTCTCCCCAACAGCACCACCACTGTCCCACCCCAGTGCCAGCCGTAGTTGCACACAGGCTTGTCAATGCAAATTGGTAATTACCACCCTGAGGAAACCTGATCAACCCAATGCAACACAAATTGGACTTCTCTACAAGAAATCTCCAGTGGACTGGAAATACCCTGATGGGCGGGGCATCTCCTGGAGAATGGATTTCTGAGTTGGCATCACACTCCACAGCTGGTGGGAATGGACCACCAAGCCTTCCCAGCAGTTTCAGAAGATCTCCCTTCCTCTCCCTCCCACTGTTAATGGCCCAGTTAGAGGGCCAGTCTGGTGGATGTATCTCACTCCCCCGCCTTGATCATGGTTGAAGTGTGACTCTAAATAGAAACAAAACTCACTTATACCATGAATCCACTCATTGACAAGTGTTAAAATGCTTGAACTTGAGTTTCAACCCTTCCCAGAAATTTTTATAGAAATCTGAATGCTCCAAGTCATCCCCAGTAGCAAATGAATGCTAGAATGGCATGAGAAATGGGCAAAATTCAGAACTGAATACAAATAACAAATTAAACCTGTGACTAAAAGAAGATATGAACTTGGACAGCAAGTACTTGGGGTTATCACCGATGTCAACTTGCTCTATATATGTATTCATATATTATATATATCTTTCTTTAGAAATGCAACTTTATAGCTGATTTTTAAAAAGCTAATAGAAAAGTAGAAACTGGCAATATTTTTTTTACATGTTTCCCCACCCCTAAATGAAGCCCTGTTAAGATGGAGCGATCACATGAAAAACGAGGCTGTAAATTCCTCTATAAATTCTTTGGTTCTGTGGCTCCAAAGAGGACATGTCATCAAGACCTCTACCCTTGACCCTCACTCCCCTTCCCTCCCCTGATGATGAGACTCTGGACACAGAAGGAACCAAGTCTAAGGGTTAAGCAAAGAACATTCAAGTGACAATGTCATTCCCTACACTCTACTGAATGGAGAGAAGTCATTCAGTATCCTAACATCTTAAACTTGGAGTCCATGGAACCATTTACGAGATTCCACGTAGGAGTAAAAAAAGCCATAAAACAAAACTAACGGGAAACAATAACAGCAAATAAATGACCCTTTCCTTTCGTTGCTCGGAGAAAATAAAATTGATTACCTTTATACAGATCAATGGCGCTATTAGTATTTTAGCCAGGCAAAAGGAGACAATGAACTGAAAAGAAAAAAAAAGGTGTGAGAAATCCTCATCTTTGGTATTGTAGCTGTTGAGGTTTCTGTTGCTCTGTTCCGTGTTTCTTTTGAAAAAACTGCATAGGCACAAATTAAAGACAATCTTCAACTTTAAGATACCGCATGAGTTGTCATTTGAAGCAGCAGCCACTGAGGAGGCGTCTCCTGATGTTCATCTGTGTTTCAACCCTTTCTTTCAAATCTGCTTCAAAAAAAAAATGTCCCAAGAGATCTGTTTGAACACAGTGTGTCTTTCTGTTGTTTTGGGGTTTTGTTTTTGTTGTTTTGTTTTCTGGCGTGCTTCCTTCTTGAAGGTGGTGATTTGCACTGTTTACGGATTTTCTCATTCATTTAATGGGACAGTTGGTTTGTTGCAGAAGTAGGTGCAGAAAAAGTTTCTTTGGTTTCGATTAAGTAGTTCATACAAAAGTCAGTCTCAAGTGTCTGTAAATCACTGCAGCGTTTGGCTTGCTTTGAACACCCCCATGATGTCCATCTGGGGCCATTCACTGGTAACTATGCACATCGTGACCTTAGCAATCTCCCCGAGTTCTGTGGGCACGCTTCAGCTTGCTATGGGAAGGAGACAGCCAGAAACCAGAGCTGGCGGGGTCAAACCACTGATGGGGTGGCTTGGCTAATATCCTTGGCATAGCTGGTCCACTCAGCCGGAGGGCGAGAAGAATTCAAGAGCTGAATGCCATTTGGAGTTGCAGAGGTTTTTTGATTTCTAAAAGTAATCACAGTATTTTTAGGCTAGAAAATGGCAAGTAGTAAGTGTCTTTGGTTTGCAGTATTCTGCTTCTTTGGTGTGCTGTGTTTCCTCCAGTTTTATTCAGCTGTTTTGCTAGGATGAGTAGACAATGGAAGAGAGTTAAGACTTGATGACAGTCATGAGCAACATGGATGGTGGTTTGATTTTTTTTTTCTCTTTTCTTTCTAGAAAACACTGGATACATCCTTCCTAATGGGATGGATGTGGGAACAAAAATGAGAGTGAGAATGAATGAGGTGGTGGTCATAATGCACAATAGGAGGAACCAGATGATGAGTAAGTAAATCAAAAGGGACACATTAACGATCTAAAAAAATCTAGATCTTTTAAAACTCTGCATTGCTCTGTGTACCGTAACAGTTAAGGTGGCCTTCTGAGTGTGCGTCTGTGTTATGTACAAACAAAATTTGTATCAAACTGCAAAATGTGCTTGAAGCCACGCTCCCAACAATTCCCTAATGACTTCACAACAGGTGTCCTGAAAATCCAGATGTGGTGAATCCAGAACCTTCTTTTATTTCTGTTCATCTTCGTTGTGCTTGATATTTTGAGCTCAAGTGAACTAATTTTATTTTTTGACGGATCCAAGACCACATGAGATCTCCAGGAGGTTAAAGAAAAGAAAATCATAATCTGGGTCAACTTAAAGCTTTCTAAACCATTCAATGAGAAGGTGCCTGAGTTGGAAAAAAACAGGTCCTTGGACTTCTATTATTTTTACTTTCATATTTTAAAGCTTGTGCTCAGTAATTATCATTCTGATGTTTTTTGTTTTTAAATGTTATGGCTGTGAACTTTGGTATACTGTGAGAGAATGAGGCTAAGCACTTGGAAAGCAAATGAGGTCATTCTTGTTGCTAGATTCTTCTCTAATTGTAGTGTCTTCGAAGCCTAAACTCAGAGTCCTCACACAGGCCAAATCCACATGGTTTTCAGTGAATCAAGAGGTTTGACGGGACCTGAAGTGGACTGTTGACACTTAATGCTGAGTTTAGTTGACACCACGGTGGAATGAAGTTGCTTCAGGAAGGCCCCATTTGGATTTCTGGGTTGCTTAGTCTGCTCAGAGGACAGTGTCTGGTCCAAAGAGAATCATTTTCAGCTTGCACTTGGACTCTGTAGCCATTACAAACAACAAAACAAAACAAAAAAACACCTGGCCTATGATTACAGCTAGAAGTTTCTTTTCAAGAGAATTGTGCTTTCGAATCACCAGTGAAGGGCCCCAGAAAAAGAATCCGACGTCTTTTTCCTTTATGTTCCTTTTGGTATATCTGTGGTCGTCGCGTTGGGAGGTGGCCTGTGCCCGGGTGAGAGTCCTCACATCATGCTTTGGTACAAGTGCTGGAGGTGGACGAGGAGCCCCCTGTGCTCAGGTCATCTTGCCACTTCTCCAGGCTGCGGCGCCGGGCGTTCATGAAGAAGTTGCTGACGGTGGTGAGCTCCAGGCCCAGCTGCTGGGAAATGGTGATCTGCATCTCCTTCGATGGGCGCTTATTCTCCTTGAAGATGGCAAAGAGTGTGCGGCGTTGGAGGTCAGTGAACACCAGGCGAGATTTCTTCTGGGAATTGTTCCTGTCTTTGTTTGGTTCTTGCTCTTTGCGTTTGCATGCTTGAGGGGAAAGAGAAGGAGAGAAATCAGTGATGGTGGCTGACAACATCGACAAAGTCATGGGGGGGGTGCGGGGGGTGCGGGGGGGCGGGGGGAGGTAAGCTGTTCAGCTTTATTGTACAGACTGCCCAGTTGCCAATAACATCCCTTCCCAGTTCATTGTGGTGATGGAAGGCCCTCTGTATAGTTGGGGGTAGGAGAAAGGCCAGCCAGGGCTGGTTCCCAGTCTGCTCTGGAACTGATTGTGATTATCTTTCTCTTTTAGTCACTGCTCCTATCCACCACACCCTGAAACTTCTTTTCTTTCTTTCTTTTTTTGATTCCTGGTGTGATGGGGAGAGTGACCTTTCGCCAAGTCCCCAGCGGGGAAAGAAGCCTGGTGCGGCGGTTCCTCTTTCATATTCACCCTTTGGAATTGTTTTCAGCTGAGCTGAAATTACCTGCTGCAGTCAAAACTTAACAAGTGCCTATTTTCCCCTCAAATCAAGGCTTTCTATCCATGAGACTCTAAAAATTGTTAACAGAGCAAAATTAGAAGTGACAGAATGATGGTATCATCCTGACCCAAATCCTCTTCATCTAGACTTTTGAAAAAGTAAAAAGACAGGAAAGGAAAGGAAAGGGAAAGGGAAAGGCAAGGCCATGAAAAAGACTATCTTAGCCTATTCTACATTGGCTAGCTTGAAGAGAAACAGGTACAGGAAGACAGGAAGTGAGGGGGGTGGGAAGAGGTCCAAAGTGTCAGTGGAAGAGCTTTAGGGCGCAAGGTAAGTCCATGACTACTTGTAGAATCGGGTTTAGCAGGAATGGGTATCTGCACCTGACTGATGTATGTAGACAGGACATTGAAATCAAAATCCTACAATGTAGCTAGCAAGTCTGTCTAAATAGTCTTCATGGAGTCCTTTTTGGATCACGGACCCAGGGAATGTTCAGGACAATGATAATGGCATGGTGACTCTTTCAGGAAATCGGTGCACACCCCAGACAGATTTGGCTTCTCAGAAAAGTGACCAATAAGGCTTTAATACAGGAGGACGTACAAAGCATCAAGTTGAGACACAAGAACATTTAAAAGAAATCCCTGCTCTTGAAGGCAGCGTACAGCCTTAGGAGAGCCGTGGAAAGCCTTAGGAAAGGCAGTGATCTCAAAAGCCCTGGTGTGCCAGGGGTGGGGTGAGGAGGTCTCTAAACCTCAATCCAGGTACTTTCTGCTCAGCATATTCTGCAGGGGAGCATCCTGTGCAGAGGGGCCCCTTGGGCATCTGAGGAAACATCCAGCCAGCCCCAGGTAGCAAGCCCAGGTTGTGGTCTTACTGTCTATGTTCTTCCCAAATCTGCATGTTGAACTCCTAGCTGCCTTTCATTTACATGTAGTAGATATTAGATACAGATACATGGTGCTTAATTTCAGCATTATGTGTCAAAAGTACATAAATAAAAATCCTAGCTGTCAAGGTGAGAGGGGCCGTAAGTGAAGCCCTCAGAAATGGGATTAGTGCTCCTATCCAACAGACCCCCAGAGAAGCAGTGAGCCCCTTCTACCATGTGAGGAAGCATCGAGAGCTGCTAGCTCTGACCCAGAACACGGGAGCTCAACAGACAGGAAATCTGCCAGCACTGTGGGAAGTCACAGCTAGGGAAATCTGGCAGAATGTTTCCCATTTTGATAAGAAATAAATGGAGACTGAGAAAGTGAAAGTGATAGCCCTAGGGCCACACCCCAGGTGTTCGGCCGACCGAGGACTGGCACATTCCCTACTGCCCTGTAGGGGAAGCTTCTTGTAGGGCAGCTTTGCAGAGCACAGAGCACATTCTGCATTCTGGGCATTTACAGTCCCCCCTCAGGCCCTTGACCTCACTGCTACTGCAGCTTCCTAGATTCCCACCCCTGCTCTCAGCTCATGGGATGCCTGGCACTGAGCTCTCATCTGGAGGATTCTCAGTAAGCAATGCTGCATGGTAATCTAGTCCAATAATTTCTGCAAACACTGGCTGAGGTCTTGTGCCAATTGCTATTTTTTAGAGCTAACCATACAGCCCTCAACTTTCATACTAATATTAATTATCCTCTGATAGTACTGTTGTTGTGCTTGTAATAGGATGTTTTAGATCACTCCTTGGCCTTTTAGCTAAGATCAAATGTAAGTAGGATAATTAAACAAGGCTAATACAGGTCTGTATTGGTTTTGTCAGGGTATATTTTGTGAGACATAGATAGGCTAGATGCAATATATATACATTTTTTAAGAGAGAAGATTCTTAAAATGTATGGCAACTGCAAAGACAGAACAGATCAAGGTTTCTGCCCAGGCATTCCCAATAACTCTCGGAAGCCACCAGATTCCACACCATCAAATGCAAAGTGGTAGCCAGGCACCTGAGCATTCAAAACCCCAAAATAACTTGCCCAGAGTCCTTAAAGTTGTCAATTGTCAGCCTATGATTCTTATTCACAAAAGTACAGTCAGGAGCTGAAGGAAATAAGGGCTTCACTTGCTTTGAAAGTCTAGGAAGCAGCGGATGGACTGAATACCATCTAGTTGTGAGCCTCAGTATTCTTAGAATAAGCCATGGTGCCAGGTGTTCCCAGAGGAGGAGCAGAGGTGAACTGCACTCTGCAGTCCCTCTGAACCCATTTCTGAATAGCTAGGAAAGTGCCAGTGACTCTCTACAGCCTAGGAATGTGTTAGAAATCCAATGTTGAGACAACAAATGCTCACAGGTGGTACTGTCCAAGTCCTGCCACAGCTTCAGGCTGGTCAGTCTCTCTTGAATGAAATCTGGCTACAGAAGGTACAAGGGTAGCACTACTCTAGACCTTTCAGATCTATTCCTCCTCTTTCTTCTGGAGGGAGGACATGCTATCAGCTGATGAATGTACTGTTGATGGGGTGGCGTGGCTTACAGATCTTGAAGGGCGTCAGTATTCTTGACATCTCTCTTTCTCTCCCCAGGACGGGGCTTCTTTGTGGGGCATGAGGAGCAACAAGAGTTCATTTCTATTGTAAAGACTCAGAGAGATCATTTATGTCCCTACAATGGGATGACCTACCCAGGCTATTGTGTCCTTCCTCCCTTTCCTTCACTATTTCTGTCTGTCTGTCTCTGTCTCTCTTGCCAGACCTGGGAATTGAACTCTGGGTGGAGGCATTGTCCTTGAGTTTCTTTTGTTCAAGGTAAGTGCTCTACCACTTGAGCCACAGCGCCACTTCCCAGCTTTTTTGAGTGGTTTATTGGAGCTACGAGTCTCTTGGAATTTCCTGCCTAGTCTGGCTCCAAACTGTGATTCTCAGATCTCAGCCTCCTGAGTAGCTAGGATTACAAGCCTGAGCCACTGGCACCCAGCCTCCCTCCCTGCCCTCCGCTCCCTTCTCTCTCTCTCAGAAAGAATAAAATTGACTCATTTTAGTAATACTGAAACAGGATTGAGACGAACAAGTGTGCACAGATCTGTGTATAATCTGTGATGAGTCACAAGGGACATAGTCACTAGTAGATGCAGGTTCCATAGTAGAATAAATTTTCACACCACTCACTTCTGAGGGGGAACTGTAAGGGAAAGAGGTTCTGGTTTTGACTACCAGCCACTCCTGAGATCCAGAGATGTCAACTTGTCTTTGACTTGGTGGCCATCAGGTTGGTGGAAAGTTTTCCTAGGCTCTAGGAACTTAGCTGCAGCATGACAAGCTGAGACCCGCCCACTGGTGGAGAAAGGTGACCCCAATCCCAGCTATCTGGATCACCCTGGTCAGTGGACCCAGCAGCTGGCTGCAGATGCTTAAGTGTGGTCTGGACTGGCAGGACCACCCAGCCAACCCACAGATTTCTGAGCAAAAATAAATGCTGTTTTACGCCAACCACCTCCTTAAGGGAGGAGCCAGACAGTGGAGAAGCCTCAGCTCAGAGTCAAGATAGCTTCTAATTCTGCGCCAACCAGCTATCAGCCTGTATGACCTGCCGCCTCAGTTTCCTCACCTACAGACTGCAAGTTCGAGTGCCCACAAGGCCAGGATGTGAAGAGACTAGCTGGACTGCTTAGTGCATGGTAGGTGCTCAGTAAATGTGACTATTCTTTTTTACTTCACAGAGGGAAAAAAAAACCAGGAAGGTGTTAGGTAAGGTTAAAAATTCATGATCTCAACTGCTTCTCCAAGCCTTACTCAATCATAAGCTTCGTAAACTTCCCAGAGGACTAAATGGCAAATAAAAGGTTAAAGATTTTTGTTTCCCTCATGTAATTGTCTCATAGCCAACTCCCAGCCTTGGAGAAGAGGTAAGACTGTAGGATGTGTTTTTATATATGTGTCAGAGATCCTAAGAGGTCCTGGACCACTGGTGTTTCATGACATCACTAATTTATATCTAAATAGACTCTACATAGGATGGATATTGTTAGCTCATAATAAATAATGCAGAAGTGCTCCTTGCATTCAGTAACTATTTGCCCTGAATAGTTCAGGAGGTTCTTGCCAGGATAGACGGTGGGAGTGGGGGAAGAAAGCCACCCAGTGAAGAAGGGAAATGGACTCGCTGTACTTGCCTCCTCCAAGAGTTGGTCTTTTGGTACCGACAGAACCCCATGGGAGAGGCGTGCTGTCTAGGGAGACCATTCTTCCTCTGGAAACTAATCTTCCATAGTCAAGAGTCTCTCAAATAAGTCCAATAGGATCCCTTGCATTGAAGCGAGGAAGCAAGAGGAAGAATGATACACTGATGGTGCATATTTAATGCTCAGTAAGCCATCAGTGCTGGTAAGTCTTAGTCATGCAGCCTCTTGGGCCAGCAGAGAGACAGATGCCAGCACTTTGCTATAGGGACCTGGGATGAGGGGCCGACTCACAGACTTGGGCTCAGCCAGTGAGGGCCAGTGGAAATCGGGAGCCCTGGTTATCACCTGGCAGGAAGGAGTGCTTGCTGCTATTATTTGATTTCTGTGCCCCCTAAAATTTTGTTAATTAAATGGTTTGCAGCTTAATGCTTTGCATTTTTCGCTGCCT